TTAAAATCATATAACGAGGCTCGATAGTATATTTATTCCCAATATTCATGTTGTTATATGTCATATATGATATAAACAATTTCAATATTTTTCTTCTTCCCGATCACAAAATTGTAGGTTACTTCATTACTAAGAAACTAAGTTAAAAGACTATTAATTAATAACACATATTTCATATACATTGATAATAACTAAAGTTATATAAAGAGGCTCGATAGTATATCTATTCCTCATATTCATAATGTTATATGTTATATATGATACAAACAATTTCAATATTTTATGTCTTCCCCGTCACCAATTTTTAGGTTACTTCATCACTAAGAAACTAAGTTAAAAAACTATTAATTAATGACACATATTTCATATACATTGGTAATATCTAAAGATATATAAAGAGGCTCGATAGTTTATATATTCCCCATATTCACATTGTTATATGATATATATGATATAAACAATTTCAATATTTTTCTTCTTCCCCATTACAAAATTGTAGGTTACTTCATCACTAATAAACTAATTTAAAAGACTATTTATTAATGACACATATTTAATATACATTGATAATAACTAAAATTATATAACGAGGCTCGATAGTATATTTATTCCCCATATTCATATTGTTATATGTTATATATGATATAAACAATTTCAATATTTTTCTTCTTCCCCGTCAGCAAACTTTAGCTTACTTCATCACTAAGATACTGTTTACAGTGATTTCTGGTAAACAACCGCTAGTCCTTCAAACTATCAAATAATCTTAATGACTGTTATTTAATCTCTCTGGTAACTTGCAGGATCGACTAGATTGATCCTATGGTGTATTGGTCGTTTAGATAATTCTCATTGTAGAACTGATATTCATGGTTGGTATTTAGAATGTTGTGTAGGCGTTCAACTTACTTCGATTACCATATTAAAGAGATCTAATGACATGATCAAGTAAAGACGTGCGAAACTAAATTGCATGAATAAAGATTCGATTGTAAAGAAATGTAAAACTGCAAGAAACAAGTAAATAACTTTAAAGTATAAGAGTTTCTGAAAGGTAAAGGATTCGAAATAAAAAGAAAGCGTTTAAATGCAAGAAATCAGTAAATGACTTTGAATGGAAAGATATTCGAATGAGGAAAGCATGAAGATAAAAGCGTGAAATGTAAAAGAGTTTATGTAATGTAAAGTACTCGAAATAGAAGGAAAGACTTTCAAATGCAAGAAATCAGTAAATGACTTTGAATGAAAAGACTTTAATGTAAAGGCTTTTGAATGATATTGACATGAAGATAGAAGATAAACTGGAAATGATAAAGAGTTTTACTGAATCATAAATATTTGGTGTTATCATACGTACATTGTTCGAGCATTCGTTTCCCTAGCCATGTGGTATTTTGAATGTTTACTGAATTTTGTACAAAAGATATAACACACGAAATCCTAACGCTAAGACTTCTATTTATACTACTTCGACCATAACGGTCTTGCCTATAAGATTCTGCCACGTTCAGAACATGCAGAGCACTTCCCCTTTCTAGCTTCCACGCGTCTTCGAATGCTCCAACGCATATATTTTAAATTTCGAACATCACGCTTGCGTTTGAATTTCAAATGTTTTGGCACTCTTCGCTTCGAACTCCTTTCTTAAACACATTCTCATTACTACTTCGAGGCTTCTTTTAACTATATCTTCACAACTGTCACTCGAAGCTCCGAGCTTTGACATGTTCATTCAAAGAACTGCTTCTACCATTCTGAACCATGACATCTTGCTTTATTCCAACGAAACATCCAACTTGCTTTGTTTCGAACTGTATCATCAAAATCTTCAGCCAACAAAATGCCCCTTTAAAATATGTATTTCGATCCTTTGAGAAACACTTATTTTAAATATATATGCAAGATTTTGATGTGACCTTTGAGTAATCGTAACATTTATTGTGTATGACTCCAGTCACGTCAATCACGACGCCTTTTAGATTCCTTAACTGTCTTGAATCAGTATTTCACAACATGGTGCATGTTGTACCCCAAAATTTGCCCTCCCATTTCTCATTGATTTCTCATCACAAAGCCCTTGAAGATCAGGATCCAGTTAAGGTTTCATCTGCTCAAGACTTCTCCTTGCACTGCTGACCCAAATTAGGGTTTGTGTTTGCACAAAGATGTTTTGACCTAAAATGCCTAAGATGAATTTCTTGCTTCATATTGGACTCCCAAGTTTATCCCCATCAAGTTTCAAGTCTTGATTCCAAGTTTTGCCCAGTCAATTGGACAGTTGACCTAGAGATCAACTGTATTGGGGAAAAAGTCAACTGTGGCCAATTGACAGTCAAATCTCATGAAAATTGACCCACATCAACATTATGAACTCATATGGACCATTTGATCAAGTTGGGATCACAATTCCACAAGAAATTTGATCAGATCACCAAAAGGGCAAAATGATCATTTTTAGGGTTTTGACTGCACCAAGGCAATTTTTGACTGTTTGACCTAGCCAATGGAAAACCAAGCTCACATATGGACTCAAGGGCCCCATGGAATTATCTTGACATGCTCAACAAGTTCAAAAGATCCCAAATACACAAGATTGATAGTTGAATTTCTCAGTCAATTGATCAATTTTGACTGTATACTGAAAAGTCAAACTTTGACTTTTTGGTCAAAATCAAGAGTCAAGATTCATTTTTCATCAAAACATGCCAAATCATGAAACTTGTTCATCAAGAAATCAAAAAATGCAAATTAGGGTTAGAAATGAGAATTTTTCATAACTTAGAATTTTTCTAAGTTATGAAAAACCTTAATTTTTTCCCAACTTTGCCCCACTTTCTCACCAAGATCTATTTGGATTCAAGCAAAAGTCAAAACATGAAAGTTGTAGCTTGTTGCATAATCTACAACTTTGATTCACAAAGTTTTCCCAAATGAGGCTTGTATCTCAAGTTACAATTTTTTGAACAAGGGTACTAAACCATTCTTAACTTAGTGAAATTTTAACCTATTTTGACAAGGTTTTCTACCCAACTTCAAGGCCATTTTCCATACACTTCCACTTGGAATTTCAATTTTCATTTCAAAGATGGATTGTAGTACACATTCCAAGCTTTCCAAAATGTCCAAGAACTCATCAAACAACCTCATAACTTGAGAGATTCGAATTTCACAATTTGGCAAAAACTCACTTTTGAATTGGTCAAATTACATGTCCATAACACTAGGCATTTTCAATCTCAGCTTGCATATCTTGATTACAGGTACTTAAACCATCCAACACTCATAAATTTAATGCAAACTCTTTGTGCCAAGACCATGTTCTATGGATTCAAGCATTGCATAGTAGATTAATCCCAAAATAGATAAATCACTTTATCCATTTTTGAAAAAGCAAGCTTTATGTCCAATTGAAAATCCAAGAAGTACAGTTAAGATCTCTTTGGCACAAGTTTACGGATTAATCACACTGATCAAGACTGAGTTATGCAGCATGTTATGGGGGCCTCTAGCTTCCTAAACACCAACTTGACATTTTCTTGCTTAAGTGCTAAGGAACATTGCATTGTTCAACACAACTTTGATATCAGCTTGCAAACCCTTAAGAAAACTTTTGAAACACATTCAAGACATCCCAACTGAGCTAGCACACGACCCTAAGACCTCCAATACCTCTCCATTGCCATAATCACTCTCAAACTGCAGAAACAGGGCAAGGCCTGCAGATTGAACACCATCTCTCATTCCTTGCATGATTTCTTGACCAAAGCTTATCAAACACATTCCCTAGCATCAATGCAACCTAACCAAGACCTGAAACACGACCTGTAATTCCTCTAACAAGTTCCACCATTTTCACTTTCTCATTTTGCAGTTGAAGTTCCACAACTCGATTCAAGGTGTCTCAAGGCAAAGTAAACATTGGAACAACATCACCATACCTCAAGGAAGCTATACCAACCATCACCTTGCACTGAAAGCTTCCCCATTGCCAGATAGAACTTCAACTGAACAGGTATTTTGGTGAACTTCTAACTCTTAGTATAGGCATCATTAACTCTAGGTTTGTGAATAAGAAATGTTCTACTCATGCCCCTGAACCTGTACATGCTTTTACTTTTCATTTATTTTGCCTGAGCTATGAGAATTTAAGGTTTGAAAATGGCAGAAAACTTAGGTCAGGATTTGGGAATGTTAAAATTCTCTCTCATTTCTGAGAGTTAGGATGAGTTTTTTATATATTTAGAATCGTGATTCAATGCTTAACATTTCTTATGTTGGAAGTTTGTGCAAAAAATCAAGGAATCAGGATGTTCGAATGAAGGTTCTTGCGCACGTTTTTTTTTTAATAATTTTGTTCAGAGGTTGAAGAAGGTGCCTCATGGGCTGGGCCAGCTTTTGTTTTTCTTTTTACACCATATTTTTTGATTCATACCCCCCTGAGCCCATTTGTTTGATTTAATGATTTTTTGATCTTTCTTTTTTATTTCTGACTCATTTATTTTCTCTAATAATGTTTAAAACTTGAAAAATCATTTTTACACCATTTTTGCATTTTTTAGGTATTTATTTGTTTATATGGACATTTATACATAAATATATATATATACTATTATTTAGAAATATTAGAAAAAATAATGTAAACATATTATATTTCTGATTTTTTATTTCATTTTTCCCTTTTAAAACATTTTGTATAAAAAAAAATACTTTTTTTATAAAAAATTAAATATTATTATTTTGTGCATATTTAATATATTTTTGTAAATAATATATATATATATATATATATATATATATATATATATATATATATATATATATATATATATATATATATATATATATATATATATATATATATATATATATATATATATATATATATATATATATATATATATATATATATATATTATTTACAAAAATATATTAAATATGCACAAATAAGGTGGGCACTGTGAATCGGGCAATTCGAAAAAGGATATCTGTATAATGAGTACCTCTTATGAAACCATACCGCTCCTCTGTTTTATTCTGGTAAAGGGTCGGAATCAGTCCACGAATGAGTTCCTTATTAACTAAAAAATATCTCCTAAACCAAGGCATAGTAGCTTGTTTATGTCTGATTAACCTCCAGGCGCTTTTTATGGAAAACTGAGTGATCAGGCATTCATATAACTGTGTCTTATCGCTCACTGTTCAAGGGCCTTATGGCTCTGATACACTCCCCAATTTATTGCTGGTGTTTATTTGCACCTGCAGGGAGGGACCATCTGGAATTAGAAAGTATGTCTGCAACTTTTACATTTTTTTTTGAACACCAGACTCCCCTATGATCTGCTCACCATACATACCTTTCAACTATAGAACCTATAGGCAGCAAAGAGTCATACCAGAGAGATGTATTGGTTCCATTGCCAACATCATGTATAATATATCTTATAGCCAACTCTCTCACCTGTAAAAGTTTCCTAAAAATCCAGCTACCATTATTTGGTTTATGGTGAAATACACCCACCAACAAAATGCTTATAAAAAAAAGAAGCATTGTATGTAAAATACCTATAATCTATATAAGGACTTTTTGCAGCCAGAACCCAGATATGCTTCAACATAGCAGCTTTATTCCACTCCACCAATGAAGCCCGAAACCACCTTATTTTTTAAAATTAAAAGGGCAGCAAATTTCCAAGCAACATTCCCTTTGTTCTTAACCATATCAGGACCAGACCATAAGAACCCTCTGCAGATCTTCTTGTCTTCAAATAAAAACCTGCACTGGCAGTATGAACACAGTACTCCAGTAAACTTGCATGCTAAAGAGGGCACTCTTAACCAGTTGCCCAGCATATAAGAGGTATTTTCCAGTCCATCTATGTACTCTAGCTTTGATTCTCTCAATTAGAGGCAAACAATCACTAACTGAGAGCTTTGAAGGACTGGCCCAGGTACTTGATTGGCATTTGACCTTCATTGAATTGAAGCCAATTAGATTTTTAATATTTCACTTTGCAGCATCAGAAAGATCTCCATAGTCGATTTGACTCTTGGATATGCAGTAAGACCAGAAAGATTTGCAAATTCTTTTAAGCATTGATTGACCACAGCAATGGAATCTTCAGCGCCTGAGCATAAAATTAGTAAATCATCCGCAAAACATAGATTATTAATCTCATTATTTCTGCAATTTTTATGATAACTTAAGTTTGGATTAGTTCTGGCTTCCTGCTTGAGTTTCCTTGAAAGATACTCCATTCCTATTAAAAAAAAAAGATAAGGCGCTATAAGCCCTTGTCTTATTCCTCTATCAATTCAAGCAGCAAATCCTTCTCACGAACTAGAGATTTAGCAATCAACTGAGTGGCTTTCGCTCCTTGGTCTATTGTCTATCGACGCCCTTTTTTCTTTATTTTTTGTTCATCCTTTGACTCAGCAAGGGAACGGAAAGCAATTCAATGGCAACTTGAAGCAGAATGTCCGTCTTTCTTTATGCTATGTAAATTCAATAATCTCTGGCCTCCTGGCAAAGACCCTTCCTCGAAAAATCTTTTATCTATTCTCTTCGACCCCCACTTTTTAGTTAGGGATCGGGTAACCTATTAAGTAAGTTAAGGAAATTCCTCATCTTTCCACATTTTTATAGAAAACTCTCCTCTAGACTGGGATTTTACCCTGGCTAAGAGAAAGGGCTTAGAAAGCTATAGAAAAGCCTCTAAACCCCTTTTTCTTATTAGATAAAGGAAAAAGAGAAGACGAAGAAGTCATAGTAGGCTCTAAGAGTACAGCTACTCTTCTTATCTTATTCTCTTAAATGAAAGGGTACTGTATTTAAAAGCAGAGAAAGAGGAGCCTTGTCCTTAGCTCTTAAGGTTGTTATGCAACTGCATCGTCACCCAAAACCTAACTCCAACAGTCAAAAGCAAAAGTTTCACCCGCGACTAAGAGTAAGAGAAGACTTCTCTTCTAACCAACAATACCTAAAGGAAATGAAGGCCTGTTCATCATTAACTTCTAGTTTAAGCCGCAGCATACACGATCACTTTACTTAAATAATCTACCCGGACGAAAGCCACCTGTGTTATGGGAAGATTACCAGGTCAGGCAAGTCCTCAATCAATGAAAGACGAGCGATTATGGATATTGATTGCGCCAAACATTGCTGTAGAGGCTCTTACTAGATAGGGTGGCAGAATAGGAGTCTCACTAGTAGTAGTATTAAGCGGGCAGCGGTAGGGCAAGTGAAACATTATATCTTTGTCAGGCTTAAGCTAAAGGGCATTAGAGAAAGACAGTTCTTGTTTCCGGGCATATCGATGGGAATAAGAGCAGGCGATAAGTGAGGTAATTCCTTCCGGTAGTGGATGCTGGTGGATCAGAGTCAAATCGCTCATCATAATAATCCGATTCTCCGACACACGATATGAAATGGAAGTCCTACCAAATCTAAAAAGAGCCTTTCATACAACAAAGAAGATTAAAACTCGTCTTCCTGACGGACACTGAAATGCTAACCGGACTGGTTACTACATAGCCCTTTCACCAATAAGCGATTGGCGGATGGTGCTAGACCCGTCAGACTCGCTATCGACTACTCAGAAAGAAAGACTAAAGCAAAAGAATGGATTAAGGTGATACTAAACACTTAGCCGATTCGAAGGCTTCAACCGCTGTTAGGACCGACTACCGGACTGATAGAATGGAATGATAGAGCGAGAAAGGTAGGTGGAAATTAGGACTATGATCTTAAAGCTGCTGCTTTGGCTATGGCTTGCTTGTCAAAGCCGGGCTTCCTCTTTTTTATTTGAGACTATACCTTGAAATTAAGAAGCTAGATCTTTATATTATATAAGGGAAGAAGCTCAGATCAAGATGCCCACTTCTCCTTATAGACTCTTCACAGTCACAAGTAAGTATGAGGGATCCGAGATCTTTTCAAACAACAAGAACGGAACATCAGGACTTTTTCTAGTTAGACTTCTCTAGACAAGCTAGGCTCGCCCACCGGTAGGCTAAGAGACTTTCAGAGCTTAATTTTAGATGTTTATTGCTTTCAGCATGCTTTGCTTCAAAACAGAGAAGAGCGGAAACGACTACGAGAGCAGTTACTCTTCTAACTTTAACACCGGAAACGCATTCAGTTACCTTTCTAAGAGCTACTTAAATTTCTCTTCTTTGCTTCACTGGTAAGGCTCATCGGTCTTCTGGCCAGGCATATAATCGATTCTTTGACCGGCTTTCGAAAAAGCACCTTTGGGCGCTGGCTTTTCACGCTTAATGATAGAGACTAGTCTGATAGAATGATTCTTCTTGCTATACGCAATTTCTTTTTTAGTAAGACAGTAGGAATTCATTCACTCAATTAGAAGCCGCCTCTAAGGATAAAGTCTTTCATCTGCAGGGTAGGCGCTGTGATATCAGGCCTGGGACTACAAAAGTACTTTCTTACTTTGTTCTACGTTGAAGATTGGTAGTAATAGTAGTACTGTAAAAGTTCTTTCTCACATAAAAGCTAAATTTTATCGTGTAAGCGAATACTCTTTCCGCGCCGGAAGAGGCCCCCCTACAGAGGCCAGTGACCCTCTTTCTTCTCTAAAGGAGTAGTAGGTCATGGAGGCTCTGGGCTACTTTTCCCGAAGGAGCTTGTAGCGACATTTGAGAGACGTTCAGAGCTCCCTCTTCTCTTGAACTTCCATAGGAGTCCGCTCGTCGTCATACCGGGCTTAGGAGAGGATGTTAACAGTGACGAGTCTCTCCCGCGTCTGCTCCGGTAGGCGCTGTGATAGCAGGCCTTTAGGTACGGGAAAAAGTCATGTCATGCCTTACTTTCTTCCGGAGGATATAATGTTAAAGGCTTCACATATGATAGAACTCTTAAAGGGAGAGCGTCATTACTTTTCGGATAAGATATCTTTATAGAGGTCAAGTCTCTTGGAGAGATAAAATTAAATTTCTTGACTCTTGTGAGTAAGGGCATTGAGCTTCTTACTCTCATTTTTGCAGAGTTATGAGACTGTCTCCTACCGAATTCTGTCGATGGAAAATCCTCTAGCGTCTAACTCTTCCTCAAGAGTCCTTCAGACTCAGGCAAACTCAAGCCGGAAGAGCCTCTTATATTATAGGCCCTGCAAGACCGCGTCTACCTCCTTCTTAGTACTATATAGAAGTATTGGAATTTTTCCTCTTCTTTATATCATATAACAATTTTTTTTGACGATTCTGCTAATCCTTATGCTCTAACTAGTCTTAAAATTATTTTAATTACAGGAAGAAACCTAAGAAATAACTTCAAAAGAAAGAAAGGGAAATAATAGGGTTTTATTTATCCTTACACTATTTGATCAAGGAGAAGGCGGGGGACCTGTAAAGCATCAACCATTTAAACGGATCCATCTTTTCTTAGTCTGATTCTTATATGTTGGGTGCCTCTTCCTCTTCCGCAGATTCGGATTAGTGACTAGGGACCTAGCTAGGCTCCTTGTCTTGACCCCAGAGATCTCCCTGCCCTTTCGATCTTACTTATTGACTTATTATCTAATCCACCTATGGGCATATTCCTTCCACTGGGGTTGCTTCATTCTAACCTATCTCAACAAGCCCATCTAAGAGCCTATTGAAATTCAATCAATGGCACAGCGTCCGATTCGATCACTCTATCGAGTAGAAGTACAGGGATGATTCAATCGATTCCTAAGACCTTGAAGGGCGAAAGCCCTAATTAAGCTAGGATGAATCATCTAAGTTCCCTATGGCGGGTTGGAGACACGGAATGGGGGAAGGAATGAAAGAAGCCAGCAAGTCGGTCTAACCAGTAACAGTAGAGATTGTTAAAAGCATGGATGAACCTTCTATTCTGTATTCCGTATGTCAGGTCTTGGTCTTACTTAAATAGTCAATAGTAAGTTTCATTGACTGCGGATTGCCTTTCTACGCTTTCTTCTCTTATGAAATTTCTCAACCGTAAGGAAAGGCATAGAGTAATGGCAAGATCAGCCTAAGGAACTATCCATTGCTCGGCTACAATTGCTCGCGCGGGTCTAGGTCTATTTGCCAGAAAGAGTTCTCAAACATCACAGCACTTCTTCCCCGACGGCTAAAAGTAAGCCGCTAGTTAAACTTAACGCGGGAAGCGCAACTTGGCTTTAGGGAAGCCGGTAGGATATTCTTTATTCTGGGAGAGACTTTCGATTCCTTCCGCCTCAAGTACGTTCCAGTTTCTGCCCGCAAAGGTCTTTTGTCTGCTAGGACCATCTCAATCTAATTCCAAAAGACTAAGAATGAAGCGAGGCAACTAGCCTGTCTCTACCTAGTAAGGCATTGTACGCCACCAAAAAGCACTAACCTTGCAGATAATAATATCAAACTCGAAAATAAAGTCCTGCTTGCACCGGTCGACTACAAGGCATGGGCCTTGCTGCAGGCATGGTAATCTTAGCAAGAGGGCTGAACGTCTCCTCAGAATCCTGTCCATATTTCATAGTGAACCTCTTTGCCACTAAGCGAGCACCGGGCCTACCTTTGTGGGTCTCTCAACTGTCTGTGGGTATCGCGAGAATACGAATACTTTGTAACCTTGTCTTGGATTTACGCCTACAACCAGATGCCTTTTTTGTGTAATGGAGTAATCATTCTCTTTGAGAAGTTAGTCTATGGCCTTGTAAGGATTAGAGCGTCTTCGGGGATTAGAAGAGCTCAAGGATTAGGCCTCTGTCGCGCAGCTTGTCCACAGAAGTCTCAGTTCAACATCTTAATGAACCAGGCCGTTAAGGATGTTGAGGGGACCCGTGAAGGTTATATTTGAAATGACGACAAATGTGAATTATTTTTGTGTGCGTGGTAACCCGATGGAATGGCATTTTATAGGAGTTCGAGAATGGGGGCTCTGACAGTTATCTCGAAGTAATACGAATCTGTCAACTTGAAAGGTGGGGCACTAGCCGCCAGAAAGGGGAAGTAAACGCATTTCGAAATCGGCTTATAGAAGGTAAGTGTGATACGGTGGGAGAACTGACTTGAGGTTTGCGTTTGTATTCGCAAATGTTGCGGTTAGCAAGAGTCGCCACCGACTTTTTATTTTATCCTAAGGAAAGGTTAAAAAGCACAGCAAAAAACCTTTTGAGATGTTTTCTTGGGTTCGGGGAGTAGATTATAGAAAGGGAAGGTATTAGCACCCTTTCTATCCATGGTTATCCATGGGCTCTTAGTTACTTGCTTAGATCACTTGCCTTTTGTTTTCAATTGTTTTAAATGGTGCTTGAGTGTGTGGGTTTTGAAAATGTTTTGAAAAGATGCCAATGTGGTGGCAACCTTTGCAATGATCCATGTGGGGATGTATACAAAGATGTATGTCTTTTGAAAAGGTTTTCATTTTTTGAAAGTTGTTTTGAAAGTGTAGTGAAGTGTGGTTTGAAAAATAGGCAAGTGTTTTGTTTTTGCAAGTTGGTTCAAGTAACTAAGAGGTTATCTACTCCTAAATTTCTCGAAAGATTATTGCTATACTTTAACCCTTTTAACAAGTTTGCACCACCATTGTATTTGGTGGGCAACCTTGTGTTAGGATGTGAAAAGGGACAGGCGCGGGTCATCGTTTAGACCATAGTTGTAACGACGTTAAATGTCTTTGGGCAATTTCTCTAAGGGACTTGATCATTTGTTTTGTTTGTTTTGAAAAGTTTTATCGAGGGACTATGATCATTCAAACTGTTTGCTTTGCCCAAAGATGTTCAACATACAATATGGCCCATTTATTTGAAGGCAACAAGTGGAATACCCTAGGGGGTGCAAGTGTGATTTGTGTGTCCATTTTCATGCTTGTTTGTCTTGTATTAGGTCAAACTAATTTTTATCGTTTTTTCGCATACAAACCCTAATTCTAGCATGTTATTATTTAGAAAGCAATAAAGTGCGAAATTAAAATTACTAAGCTATTACACAACCAAATATGGGAAGGGGGGTACAAATGTTCAAATGGGGATATTGACAAGTAATTTAAACCTAAAATTATTACATCAATTTTGAATATTTGCATAGTAAATAAATTGCATAATTTAAATGGAAATTAAATAAATATGTAAAATGCAAAAAGAAAGTTTTTATGTATGAGAAAAGTATGGTTTATGTAAAATAAAAATAAGAAAATAAAAAGGTATTATTTTGAGTATTTTCAACTTTTAGGGCAAAAACCCTAATTTTAAAGAAGATGTATTATTATCTAATTTAATACAAGTATTTATTTATTATTTACAAAAATAAAAATAAATGAAGTATATTATAAAAAAAAAAGTATTTTTTATATCAAATATTAATAAGATGAAAAATTCAAATATTTTTATATTTTAACTTAAATATATTAATAAACATATATATATATATATATATATTAAGTTCTTAAATATGCATTATATACAAAAATAATATATATTTAATATTTTAATAAAATAAATAAAAAAAGTATTTTTTTATGTGAAATATTTCAGAAGGTAAATAAAAATAAAAATGTATATGAATGCATTTACACTATTTTTTTTATATTTATTCTAAATAAAAATATGTATATATTTATGTATAAATGGAAAGAAAATCAAATAAAACCCAAATAAAATCAAGAATGATGAGAAAAATATTTTCAAAATTTTAATATGCTGAGAAAAAATAAACAAGTCAAATAAAAAAAGAAAAAGTCAAAAAGAAATAAAAATAAGGCAAATGGGCTTGGGGGGTGAGAAAATGGAAATAGGGTGCAAAAAGAAGAAACCACACAGGCCCAGCCCATGTGGCTTCATCTTCAACCTTCGTTCAACAACATTCAAAAAAACGCGCGCCCTGTACTCCAGCTGCTAACTCCTGATTCCTGGCTTTTTAACAAAAACTCATAACATGAAAAATGCTCAGCATGAAGAGACGATTCCAACCATGTATAGAACTTAATCTAACTCTCTAAGATGAGAGAGAATTTCTCTCCCCCTCTTTTCTGACCTAACTTTTCATCAATGTTCAGACATGAAATTCTCTAAGCACACGAAACATAAATGAAATCTAATCATATGAGCATGTTCAGGGCTATGATTGTGACATATTTTCTTCAAAAACCTAAAGCTAACAATGCCTAACAAGAGAGATAGAACTCCATAAATATACCTGTTCAGTTGGAATCGAGCTGGGCAATGGAGGATGTTTCAGAATGAAATGAGGACTTGTACAGCTTCCTTGAAGTGTAAGGAAGCTTTTCCAATTCCTACTTTGCCTTGAAACTTCCTGAATCGAGCTAATGAACTCCAACTGCAAAACAGAAAATTAAAAATGGTGAAGTGGCTTGGAGGTGTTACAGGTCAGGTTTCAGATCATGGTCAGCTTGCATAGGTTGTGAGGAAGATAGAGGAACAGGTTTGGGCAAGAATGCTTGAAGGAAATGGGAGTTGGCACTCAAACTGCAGAGCTTGCTCTGTTTGTGCAGTTTTGAGGTGATTTTGAGATGGAGGGTGCTTGAGAGGTTCAGGACTCGTGCCAAAGCTTGGATATGGTCTATGGAATATGTTTGATAACTTTGTTCTTCTGTTTCTAAGCTGAGATGAGAGTTGTGATAAGTTATGCAATGTTACTTGAAAATGAAGCAAGCAAAGGTCACTTTTGTTTTTTAGGTGAGTAGGGGCCTCTAATCCTGCTGCATAATCCTCTCTTGATCAGAGCAACTTGTCCATAATCTTGTGTCAAGAGGATTTTGCTTGTACTTGCTTGGATTTCAATTTGACATAAAGCTAGCTTTTTACAAAAATGGATAAAGCACTTTATCTAGTTTAGGATTAATCCAATATGCAATGTTAGAACACAAAGAACATGGTCTTAACTCATTGAATATGCATTAAATTATTGAGTATGGATTGGTTCAAGGACCTGTAATCAAGCATAAAGCAAGCTGAGTTCAAATTTGCAAAGTTATGAACATGTTTTGATGAAGAACAAAAGTGAATTTTTGCCAACTTGTGAAATTCGAATCTCTCAAGTTATGAGGTTGTTTGATGAGTTCTTGGACATTTTGGAAAGCTTGGAATGTGTACTACAATCCATCTTTGAAATGCAATTTGAAATTCCAAGTGGAAGGGTATGAAAAGTGGCCTTGAAGTAGGGTAGAAAACCTTGTCAAAATAGGTCAAATTTCATTAAGTTAAAAGATGGTTTAGTGCCCTTATTCAAAAAATCATAACTTGAGATACAAGCTTCAAATGAGAAAACTTTGTGAATCAAAGTTGTAGATTTTGCAACAAGCTACAACTTTCATGTTTTGACTTTTGTTTGAATCCCAATGGATCATGGTGAAAAGATGGGGCAAAGTTGGGAAAAAATTAGGGTTTTTCATAACTTAGAAAAATTCTAAGTTATGAAAAATTCCATTTTCAAACCCTAATTTGCATTTTGTGATTTCTTGGTGAACAAGTTTCATGATTTGTAATGTTTTGATGAAAAATGAACCTTGACTCTTGATTTTGACCAAAAAGTCAAAGTTTGACTTTTCAGTATACAGTCAAAATTGATCAATTGACTGGGAAATTCAACTGTCAATCTTGTGTACTTGGGATCTTTTGAGCTTGATGAACATGTCAAGATAATTCCATGGGGTCCTTGAGTCCATATGTGAGCTTGGTTTGCCATTGGCTAGGTCAAACAGTCAAAAATTGCCCTTGTGCAGTCAAAACCTTAAAAATGACCATTTTGCCCTTTTGATGATCTGATCAAATTTCTTGTGGAATTGTGATCCAAACTTGATCAAATGGTTCATATGAGTTCATAATGTTGATGTGGATCAAATTTCATGAGGTTTGACTGTCAATTGGCCACAGTTGACTTTTTCCCCAATACAGCTGATTTCTAGGTCAACTGTCCAATTGACTGGGTAAAACTTGGAATCAAGACTTGAAACTTGGTATAGGTAAACTTGGGAGTCCAACATGAAGCATGAAAGTCATCTTAGGCATTTTAGGTCAAAACATCTTTAGGCAAACACAAACCCTAATTTGAGTCCACAGTGCAAGGAGAAGTCTTGAGTAGGGGAAACCCTAATTGGATCTTGATCTCCAAAGGTCTTGTGATGAGAAAATGTTGAGGAAATGGGAGGGCAAATTTTGGGGTACAACAGTTGCCCCTGTTCAATCTTCTTGGACCTGAAGAGTTAGATTGGCAAGTTTGCCTTTCGTGACTCGAGGGTAAAAGGAGATTGGACACTAGAGTGCCCGGAAATTTGCACTCGCATACTGGAGTCTCATCAATGTGGTGTCGGGAATGGGCTTATAGATGCCATTTGGAGAGATGGTGGATAGGGAGATGGGCTTTGTAGATGCCATCTGGAAAAGTGACAGAACTTTGTCGGGAATGGGCTTACAGATGCCATTTGGAAGTGTTGATCGCATAAGAGGTTCCTTAGCGAGAACTTGTGTG